TTAAATGGATTTTAGGGTGTAAGATTTCTTAGGATTCACTACAAGAAAAACACCCAGTAGAGAAGGGAAATATGGTCCCTAAAAGTAAGATTCTAGTCCCTGAAGGTCAATAGAGACAAGAAAATCTGGTCGCCACCTCGTCCCTATAGCCTCCGTCGCTAAAGGTCATTAAGGACCGGATAATTTAACTGGTCTTTATTTGTTTTGGGACGGGTATAAAACTGGTCCTGAAAAATGTTTTGAGGGACCGTTATTCTGGTCCCTATTATAAAAAATGTAGTCCTAAAAATACTTTTTAGGAATGTATTTCTGGTCCCTATTATAAAAACTCTAGTCCTAAAATTACTTTTTGGGACTACATTTACTCGTCCTTGTATATAAGGTATATTGGTGCTTACAAATTATCAGCCACCAGTACACTGGGCTTTTTAGGACCAGAAAATTATGGTCCCTATTATAATATAGTTTTACTGTAATAATTAAATGCATATAAAACATATTATCATAATCTGCTTCATTCATATATATATATATATATGGATAATGGTAAACACCATAATACAACAATAAAGTCATTGTTTACAGAACTACTCTATAGAATAAATAAAAAGAAGGAAGAAACTAACATCCTATATCAAATGATACAAATATAGATTCCTTATTGGCTTATCCAGCTGCCTAGGGTCTTATAAGTTCCTATACCAACAATTCTCATGTATGGAAAGTGCCAAGTTCCGTAGTTGGTGGAAGAAATCCCAGCTCCAGTTTCTGTCAAGTCCATAGAGGAGAGATGAGCTTCATGCTGATTCAAACCATGTAGAAATGGAGCAAAGTCCATATTTTCCTAGTGTAAGGTCCTAGAAATTGCCAAAGTCCAAGAGAGTGTGAAAATCTAGTGTCTGATATTACATTTATCGTCATTGTTAGGTCAACGGTGTGTTGATGAAACCCAGTAGTTTAATACACCTGCAATGGTCAAGAACATAAAATTTGGCCAATGTCCTGAATATAATTTCAGAATCAAGGGAGCTTGTTAATTGACAACCTAGATTATACACAAGCATGTTCATAACAAATGTTTTATGCAAAATGCAAAGGCTCAATGATGTGCAACTTTAATAAACCTAATGGTAAGTACTTACAAAGAGGATTCTAGTTTTCAAAATACAAGAAGTAACATATTTTATAAGTCAACTGATGAACTAACCCTGTAAAGGGCACACAATTAATTCTCAAAGCAAGCAAGTTCGGAAGCCTTAAAACAAAAAAAATAAAGAGTTCAAATTTCTTAATTTTGTGTCATCTTCGTTGTCTTAAAGTATCACATCTTGCAAAATTGGATCAACTACTTTACTAGTTCTATAAAACTTACAAAAGAAAAAAATGTAGCATCACTATGTGGGTATATCCTAGAGTTAGAGGATGCAAAAGATTCTTATGTATTTCAAAATAGATAAAGTGCAACTCCATGAGAAACATATAAAGATGTATTCAAAAAACTCTTAAAGAATCAGTAAGAAGGTTTAATTCTTCATAGTATTGAAGGTTGAATCTCTATAAATAATGTTTCACATTATTTAAGCAAGCTGCAACTCCCATAAATATTATAAAGATGTGCAGGTAAATCTTATCTTGTATTTCTATCTTAAATGACCAAATAGTAATTTCTAGTTGTTTCAAGCTACTCAATAATTAGCACGATACATACAAAAATAAGGTAAAAGGTTCAATAGTTACTGACTTTGAAGTAGATACTTGCCTTAAAACTCTTAAGAAATAATGTTGAACGTGATGGGTCGTCCATGTTTTTATATGATTGCTGTTAAGAGGAAAATCAAAATTAGAAAAACTGCCTAATGGCGCTTCATTAATTTATTAAATGAGAAAAACAAGATGAATAAAAATAAAGAACAGTGCAATAAACAGTCTACCAATGCAGAGAAATAGTTCTATGACTACAACCAAGAATTGAACAAAAATAAATTGTCAGCCTCTTACTGTAGTGACACGATGAAGAGAAGAAGAAGAGAACACATGCTATTAAAGTGCACTTCTGCTAGTCGTACCATTTTTTCTAAGAAAAAGTCCAGCATTAAATATTAAAACAAAAAGTTTACATGTCTGCTCATCTCACGCTTGTGATCACTTCGCCCTTTAACTCCTGAAGCACCCACTTCTGCTCACCTCTCTCACTTCTGGACATTGAAACACAAGTACTTTATATTTCGTAGTGAAGCTACCATTGCAATGACTCGATAATGATAACCACTAAGTTATCATAGATAACAATAAAGGAAAACAAATAATTTTTACCATAAACGCTCTTGGAAAACACTTGCCCATACTCTTAAAAGAGAATAAGAACTGAGAGGTAGTAAACTTAAAGCAAGCTTGAATCTAAAAACATAAATGGTAAATCTCATAGTCTTTGGAAGAAAATAAGAGGTACTAAATGGAAAGTGGAATTATTTACCCAAAAAATTAAAACAAAGATATGAAAGACAAAAATATAAAGCCATAGATGATGAGGAAAAGCTTGTTAGAAAACAGGGGACCATCATTATTTGGTAGATCCTCAATCTTATCAGTAGCATCTTCAACTACCCCCATTGCCCAAAGATTGTGCATCCATATGAACAAAAAACAAATACAAGAAAAGATTACAATATCAAATCTTACCATCTACAAATAAACAAGAGGAACGTGTTTATAGAAAAGATAGAAAAAAATTCACCTATAGTTATAAAGCATGAAAATTGAATGTTTAATTCAAAATGATTGAAAAAAAGAAAATTCTCACAGGATTATCAAACACTAATTGAGCTTGCCAGGTAATTCACAATACATTAAGTCAGTAAGAATATCCAGTAGACTAAGCATGGCATAATAAAAAGGCAGCTTAATGGGCATACATACTATATAATGAATCAGTATGTGAGCTCTCAATTGAGAAACCATGTCATCATCCCATCTTTTCTTGTAATGTGAGCCCTTCCCTAAAATAAGAATAACATACTGAGAAATTATTATCTTATAGTAATATGTCTTTTCTTCGTCCCAAAATAAGTGTAACTTTAACAAAAAAATTATTCTAAAATAGCATCACCTTAGAAATTGAAGACAATTTTATATGTTTCTCAACTTATATCCTCATACTTCATTTTCTTAATAATGTTCAATCAATTCTCATGATATATCTATTAAATAGGTATACTATAGTAACTATACATTATATTTATTAATTTTTTAATGAACATGATGTTTTCTAAAGTGACACTTATTTTGAGACGAAGGAAATCAATTTAATGTCTACAAAATCATACCAATGAACTTCCATTGAAAGTACTAAATCATCCAGAACTGATCCATGTATAGCATAGGATCTATAGTAGAAGCAAGATGCTAAGAGACTGAAAAGTTAAGATCAGAGAAACTAGAATAATTAACACATAGCACAATAAAGGAACTAAAGCACCTAAAATGTTAACAATCCAACTCTACTTGAGAAAAAATTCAATCAATACTACTGAAAAAAAGGTAAAAAACTAAACATACAATTAACTCAATCCTTCACACATTAAAAGAAAATATACAGGGAACAAGCCTGCACCTCAATGAAGTACAAATATTTTGTTTATAGAAATCACATAACACCATTAGTCAAAAAGTATTAAACAACTAAAGTCTAAGGTACAATCGAACTAATTATGCATAAGAAAAATCTAAGAACACTAGAACACCTATGGTTTTGCTCATTTGTAGGTTGTCTATGTGCAAGTTCAGCAATAGAAACTAAGAGAGATGTATCAAACTTGTAATTATACATAAGAAGCAACTAAGAACAATAGAACACCTCTGATTTTTCTCATTTTTAGCTTGTCTATGAGCAAGTTCAGAAACAGATATTAAGAGAGACAAATTAAGCTTGTAATTATACATAAAAAGCAACTAAGAACAGATCCCATAAATTTCAAAGAACATTTGTAAAGTTTAAGCTAAAATTGCAAAATTTTCCACTATACATATGCAGATTTCCCTTAGAATAGATCCCATAAATTTCAAAGAGAACAAAAATAGCAAGAAATCATAAAAAGTGAAAAAGATTTACGAAAATAACTAAACCTGATGTGGGTTACCTTCGTCTCTTAAGGATATCAAAGAAGGAAAAAGAAGTAATAGAGTCCAAAAAGAAAATTACCTCAAGAACTTTAAAAGCATCAGCTGCAGATATCCCGACCACCATGAGATTGATTTGGATTTGGCTAGGGCTTCTGGGATTATTTCTCAATATATCCCCATCTTAGTTGTCTTTTTCTTGTTAAATTAAAGAACGAAGGAGAGAAGAATACAAGAGTACGCAGGTAGTTCCTTGCCATGGTAATACTTTAAAGGTAGGAACGATAACTGTCGAAGAAGAGAGGGTTTAGAAATTTTGAAGGTGATATTTTGAGAGTGCTTTCACTTTTTTATTTCTTCTATTTTTAGGAGGCAAAAGACCTAAAACGGCTGAAATTAGTGAATTAGGGACCGTATAGTATTATTATTTTAGCACCAAATTAAGTTCCGTCCGTAAATTTGAGAACCAGCGACCATAAAATATTCTTGTCTTTAAATGTATAGTTTTATGGACCGAATTTTGGACTCATCCCTAAAAGTTGGTCTCTAAAGATGCTTTTTCTTGTAGTGATTCCATATGGTTTGGGGTTTAAGGTTTAGCCCT